GGACAAGTTTCAAGGAAGATATAAAAGCTACAGCAGCAGAGATGCTGTACGGAACACCTCTACGTCTTCCAGGAGAATTCTTCCTAGAAGAAGAACCACAAAGCAACCCACAAATCTTCATAGAAAAATTCAGAGAACATATTAGGAAAGTCCGACCAGTACCAACAGCACACCATATCAAACCAAGATGCTTCATTCACAAATCTTTATCTGAATGCACACACGTCTTCGTACGAGTTGACGCAGCCAGGAAACCATTAGAACCCCCATACGAAGGGCCTTTTGCAATCATCGAAAGGGTAACAGACCGAATTTTCAAGGTGGATTACAAAGGAAGACACACTAATTTAACCACGGAACGTTTAAAACCAGCATTCTTGGAAAAAATCCAAGAAAAACCAACCAGTTCACAATTACGAACGTATCAAGGACCCAAAAAAGTCACATTTACTGTATAATTATTATTGTTATGTTACCGAATTCACAATATATTTTGTTATTGTATATAGTTTTATATCTCGGGGGAGAGTGGTTGTGGCGTACGCCCGTACAAGCGGCACACAGCGCCACCTACAATTTAGTTACTAGACGTTGCTACCTAAACCACTAGTCTCTCCCTCAGTCTAAGATCAGCCTCCCACGCGTATAGACGTACACATAAGGAGAAACAAAGCAAGCTACAAGTTAGGCGAAACCACGTGTCTCCTTATTACCGGAGCGCCATCGATCCCTGTTCTCAGAGAACCAGCTTAAGAGAACCAAACACCACACAATCCGCCACAGAAGTCTGTATATAGGAGCCATCTGTTGGCTGGTCTGAAGGTAGCCGCCACATACCCCCCTGCCAGTGGATAACGATATCTAGATGGTCCTTTCCATGCTTGATGTTAGATTCCAGGAGGACGATCGCCTTCGTTGGCCCACTCGATGACGATGTGCTGCATTTCTACTGAAGCTGCCTGAACTTTTATCTGTTGCGACTCGTTCATTTTTGCTGTACCTTATAGACATCGACGCGGTCGTAAGGAGGAGCCTTCATTGCTCTACTCGACCTGACACGCATTTTGATGCTGAGGCTTTCATGAGTCAGTGTGTCATCCTTGTCGTGAGCGCGTTGCTCCGCCGGTTGTGAACTCGTTGCTCGTGCAGTCGTCGTGGCGAGGCAGTGAGTCGACTTTTACCAGAATCGAGCCGTAGATGCTGCGGTCCTAGCATGGCCTTTCTGTAACGTGACGCGTTGTCCTCGTGATGTCCGCCGATCTGTTGACGTCGTCGTAGGTCCAGGATCTCGCAAAAATCCAGGGTGCCAAGCGTCTAAGCAGATCGACAGCGATGGCCACACTAGCAGAGGGATTACGTAGTCTCGGTCTATTTAAATCCTTCTGGCGTCTCCAGGTAGTGCTGCAGGTCAATCAGAAGGCTGCGTTGTTGTATACGTCGTCGGGGTCACCAATTTGGCGGTGATTGATGTGACTGTTCAAGGAGAAAAGGAGAGGGGGAGACGTTTCGTCCAGGACCCGCTAGAGGACTCATCAGTAAGGCTATCCTAACGGGCCCTTGCCTTAGACGTTGGGATGCAGTAGGAAGGAAGAAGTCCGTACATATACAAATTGAGGCGGATCGGTTACTTGCGGGAAGAGGAACCATCTGTTAGCGAGTCTGGAGTTAGCCACCACACAATCTTTAGTAAGTCCCAAAGTCAGTCAAAATAAGTCTCTTACTGAATTGCGTCGTTGCCAACGCATTTAACTGCAGCATACTCTCTCTTTCCACCATAGTCAATGGGGCCGCCAAAGGTCGTATTCTATGCTTAAAAAACAGATTTAGAAAAATTGTAAAACGTACGAGAAAAATCTTTATACGTTAGAAGTACAAGCGAGATCTTAAGAAGCCAAATAGCATAAAGATTTGGAAAAGATGAGAACGAGGGCAACAGATAAAAGAAAAGTTGTTAAAGGATGCTTCGAAGAAATGAAAAAAGAAGAAGAGCAAAGGAGAAGCGTAGAAGAAGAAAAAGGATATTCAGGCAGAAATGGATTGAGGCAGGAAGGAATGAATAACCTGGGAAGGGAAAAAATAGATGTGGAAAAGAAACTTAGAGAATTAGCCATAGAAAAATAGTTACGGAAACGACAAAGGCAAACAGAGCAATCTACGTACAACGAGAAGCATCTATGACTGTTTTCCAATAGATAAACGAAGTGACTAAATTGTGTTAACAGTCTCGTTGGTTAATGGTCTTTCCTAATAAACAAGGCTTACTTTCGCTAATATCTCAGTAACTATGTATCTTAGATTCCATTTTGTGTAATACTTTTTTATGTAGAATTCAACGTTTTAGCCGAATTTGGGAATAAATATTAACTATTTCATTTTTAAAAATTGAAGGTGACCTTCACATCTTGATAAAAAAGCAAAATAACATAAAACAGATTACAAGCTTAGAAGCAAAACATTTTTTCATACAACAAATATTCTATGAGTTATCTAATGTCGCCATGTAACGAGACTCACCCTGTATAGTTTACAGTAATCTTGTAGTTACAGGTGATGGAATTTTCGGAAAAAGCGAACATAGTTGGGTTGAATGATCTAACCAATCCAAGAATTCTATTGAATCGAGCAGCTCGGAAAAAATCAAACAGTTAAAAAAAATTCGAATAGCTCGGAAAGAATCGAACGATTCGGAAGAAATCGAATAGTTCGAAAGAAACCGAACGGTTCGAAAAAGATCGAATAGATCGAAAGAAACCGAACGGTTCGAAAAAGATCGAATAGATCGGAAAAAAACCGAATTAGGCTGCGGTTACAGAGGATGCAGATTCGTACGAACTAGCGTTCTGATGAACACGTTAGAATCGTTCATCGTACGAACGTGAATAGCAATGATTATAGGATAAGTGTGGGGATTACTGCCGACACCTCAAATACTGTGGTATACTATAAAAGTAATAAAATCTAACATTTTATAATATCTAATCTTCTAAAAATGGATCTCATAATTTTTTATATGTTTAATATTAATAATTTATGACGTACAAGTAACAGAAATCGCAGTTTTAATTTATTTATTGACTTTTGATATTCTGAAGCTTATGAGAACGTCGAATCTTATGAAATACTCGTAATGACAGCTGTGAACGCTGATTCCAAAGGCATTTATATTTTGGTAATTAATAATAAACTATTCATTTTAGCATTATTTTTAGATAAAGAAATCATTACTTTAATAAAAACACACACACACTTAATGACACACAATCATTGTCATCTATCCTCAAATATTACATATATACTAATACAGTATTTGGTACATAGCTTTTTTGTACATTACTGCGATGCTTTACTGCACCTTAACCTATACAGTGCAGTTCTCGATGAGCCGGTGTAACAGGCTTGATCGTAAAGTACCTATATATACCTAATTTGTAAAATGCTACAGTGAGAATATCTCGATCCTAAGAATTGTAGATGTGTGTATATGTTTAAAAGAAAATGGAAAATGTACAAAGAGAAGAGGTCAAAAAATATCAAACGATATAAAGACAACTACTGCTACCCTAAGGTAAACGTGACGTTACCCTTGCAAGAAATTCGTGGAGGAGACTCTATTGCAGAAGTATCTCGGAAATATAAAATTCCAGAAACGACCTTAAGGGCGAAGAAATTAGGACTTTATGCCGATGAAAAGTCTGGACCAGCAGCTATTTTGAATGCAAAAAAAAAAAGATTTCGCCGATTGGATTCTGGAATGTTCTAAAAGAGATTTTTCAGTAACAAAATCTCAATTAATTGATAATGTGCAACTGATATGCCAAAGTATGAAAAAGAAAAGTCAGTTTAGGGATAATAAACCTGAAAGATGTTGGTACAACTCATTTTTAAAGAGGCATGAGGAAATCACAGTAATAATGTCAGAAAATGTTTCCCTAAATAGAGCTAAGGTATCCGAGCACAGTTTACGATACTGGTTTCAAAATGTTTCAGACTATTTGAGAGAACAAAATCTATTATTAATAAAAACTAACAGAATCTTCAATAGTGATGAGACAGGTCTGGCTTTAAGTCCTAAACCTCCTATTTTGAATGCACCGAAAGAATGCAAAAATGTTTATAACATTATTAATAATAATGAGAAAGAAAACATCACTATTTTGGTTACAAGTAATGCTACTGGTGATCTTGCCCCAACCGTTGTTCTCTTTAATGAAAAATCTTTGTCAAATAATGCTGCAGAAATAACTCTCTCCAAATTTGCATTTGGATTTTCAGACAGTGGCTGCATGCATGCTAAAAATTTTTATGAATTCATTACAAATGTTTTTGAATCTTAGTTCACTGAGAAAAGAATAAAACGTCCAATAATTTTATACATTAATAGTCACTTGTCTCATTTAAGCAAATTTTGCCTAGTGTTGATTTGGATATTGATTTGACGCTATGGGTGATACACTGTATTGACCCTGATTGCTTACACCACCATATCCTTGATAATTGTAACCATTGTCCACATAATTCTGATTACTGTTGTAAACTTGCTGATCTGGATAACTTTGAAATTGTTGATTGGGTATGTTAGGATAACTGAGGGGAGGTGCTTGTGGACGGAGATACGATTGTTGAGTATTCCGAACGTATCCTTGATTGTAAAAGTTTAATAGCGGGGCCATTGTCGTGTTAAGAATTTGATCTAACGGCTTCGATGCGTCTTGTTCAACATTTCCATTCGCAAGCGGCAAGTGCGTCTTTGGCACATACTTATTTGGAAGATCTCCCATTATATGAGCGATTAATCGTTTAGTCTCGTTTAGTATTGCATTTGGATCGTTTGTTTTTGTTAATTCCTTTGGCCTTACTGGAGACCGTGATCTTGAACGCGATCGAGATCGTGTCCAGGATCTTGGTGAATTTGACACAGATTTTGAAAATTCTCGTGACTTTTTCTTCACCTTCTCATTTTCGCTAACATTCTTATCTGCTGCTTTATAAATATCTTCAAATGTATAATCATCGTCGTCATCTGATAAATCCAATTTCGCCTTTTGCTTGTCTTCGTTGTCATTCTTAGTTTGTTCTTCCTCGTCATCATTTGCAAACATGTCTATTTTAGGCTTCCACTTATCTTCCTCTTCAACAGGATTTTGATTTCCCTTCAGCACAGAAAATGGCGAAATACTTCTGCCCAATTTAATACTGGTTTCCGTATTCTCTGGTGTTGGAGATTTTATTTTTGGCATCGATGACATGGACGTAGTACCTAAATTAACAAACCCTCTTAATTTTTCTACTCGAACAGGATCTGTTGCTTCTAACTTCTTTAAGAAATTAATCAGTCCATGTTGTTCTTGAGTGGATAAGTCTTTAAAATTTTGTAAAAG